GGAGAGAGGGCGAGTGGATGGGCGAGTGGATGGGTGAGTGGATGGGTGAGTGGATGGGTGAGTGGGAGAGAGGGTGAGTGGATGGGTGAGTCGATGGGTGAGTGAGAGAGAGGGTGAGTGGATGGTTGAGTGGGAGAGAGGGTGAGTGAGAGAGAGGGTGAGTGGATGGGTGAGTGGGAGAGAGGGTGAGTAGGAGAGAGGGCGAGTGGATGGGTGAGTGGATGGGTGAGTGGATGGCTGAGTGGGAGAGAGGGTGAGTGAGAGAGAGGGTGAGTGGATGGGTGAGTGAGAGAGAGAGAGGGTAAGTGGATGGGTGAGTGGGAGCGAGCGTGAGTGGATGGGTGAGTGGATGGGTGAGTGAGAGAGAGGGTGAGTGGATGGGTGAGTGGATGGGTGAGTGGATGGGTGAGTAGGAGAGAGGGTGAGTGGATGGGCGAGTGGCTGGGTGAGTGGATGGGTGAGTGGATGGGTGAGTGAGAGAGAGGGTGAGTGGATGAGTGAGTAGGAGAGAGGGTGAGTGGATGGGTGAGTAGGAGAGAGGGTGAGTGGATGGGTGAGTGGATGGGTGAGTAGGAGAGAGGGTGAGTGGATGGGTGAGTAGGAGAGAGGGTGAGTGGATGGGTGAGTGGATGGGTGAGTAGGAGAGAGGGTGAGTGGATGGGTGAGTGGATGGGTGAGTGGATGGGTGAGTGGATGGGTGAGTGGATGGGTGAATGGATGGGAGCGGTGAAGTAGCGGTGAACAGCACTTGCGCTGTGAGATGTTACCTGGGGCGCTTTGTCTCTGGAGGTCATCTGGCTGATTACCGCCGCCCATAGCCTGAGGTGATAACCACTCCCCTACTCAGGGCTGGCGGTCTATTAGAGGTCGTGAGGAGGAGGGGGTGGTGTGTGGGTGGTGAGTTGGTGGGTGAGTGACTGGGTGGGTGAGTGAGTGGGTGAGTGAGTGAGCGAGTGGGTGTATGGGTGGGTGAGTGAGTGTGTGGGTGTGTGAGTTAGTGGGTGTGTGGGTGAGTAAGTGAGCGGGTGAGTGTGTGGGTGGATGAGTGGGTGTATGGGTGGGTGAGTGAGTGTGTGGGTGTGTGAGTTAGTGGGTGTGTGGGTGCGTGAGTGAGCGGGTGGGTGAGTGAGTGTGTGAGTTAATGGGTGTGCGAGTAAGTGAGCGGGTGAGTGAGTGAGTGGGTGTATGGGTGGGTGAGTGAGTGTGTGGGTGTGTGAGTTAGTGGGTGTGTGGGTGAGTGGGTGTATGGGTGGGTGAGTGAGTGTGTGAGTTAATGGGTGTGCGAGTAAGTGAGCGGGTGAGTGAGTGAGTGGGTGTATGGTTGGGTGAGTGGGTGTATGGGTGGGTGAGTGGGTGTGTGAGTGTGTGGGTGTGTGAGTGAGCGGGTGAGTGAGTGTATGGGTGGGTGAGTGAGTGTGTGAGTTAGTGGGTGTGTGGGTGAGTGGGTGGGTGAGTGAGTGAGTGTATGGGTGGGTGAGTGAGTGTATGGGTGTGTGAGTTAGTGGGTGTGTGTGTGTCCGGCAAAACAACCCCCTACCTTCTCGCGGTGCCGGACGGGCAACACTGTCGTGGACAGTGCTGTGGGGAGAGGGACAATTCCGATTGGCCCTCTCCCCTCATGGCGTCTGTGACCACCACAGTGACTAAACGGGGGCTCTGGACAGGTGCGAGGGGCTTGTAACCCCTCCACGAAACCACGCCTAAAATATCTAACTAATAAGCTTGTGCCGGAGGCCCCGGGGGGTCAAGCGTCTATGACGTCTCCTGGCCAAACCCCATTTGGCGGAGCCAGGAGATAGAATCTCTACCCTCGGGGCTCCTCCAGAAACAACGAAAAGCCACTTCGTGTGGCCACGTGGAATGTTTGAACGCTTACTGATTGACCTGGTCAAGGCCTATGATACCATCAGTAGGCCTGGGCTCTGGGTTGCTCTTCGTGCTTTTGGAGTCCCTGACCCCCTGCTCACGATCATTAAGGACCTTCATGATGGTGAGCGGGCCCGGGTAAAACTACGTGGCCGGGAGTCAGAGCCATTCCCTGTACACCTTGGGGTGCGACAGGGATGTCCTCTGGCTCCCACATTATTAAACATCTATTTTGACCACGTAGTCCATGAAGCCTTCAATAGCTGTACCGGGGGAATCTCTATTTGGTACAGATATAATGGGAGGCTGATCGATTCTAGATTTAAAGCTTTCGTGACTGCTAGGATCCATACTCTTTGGTTCTATTGGGTAAAGTCACGTAGGTGAAAATAAAATAACAAAAATCATCAGGTGAAGGGACTAGACTGTCTGGAGGACAGCGCTGGAGTGGAAGAAGCCACGCTTAGATCACGACCTTTAAGCTGTGTGAGAAGAAAAAGACCACGCGCCTTGACAAAGGAATTAACATATCATTTAGCATTGAAATGGCTCATTGAAATAGCTAAGTTAAAGTATACACATCCGCAGAGGTACCCCTTGACAAAGGAATTAACATATCATTTAGCATTGAAATGGCTCATTGAAATAGCTAAGTTAAAGTATACACATCCGCAGAGGTACCCCTTGACAAAGAAATTAGCATCGAATTTAGCATTGAAATAGCTGAGTGATTAGCTTGTAACTGGTCACAGAAATAGCTATGTTAAAGTCAGAACATATACATTCACCGAGGCACCTAGTACTCATCAAACAGGAGAATTCAGCGAAACACAACCACGCTCAGACATCGGACCTGTGTGCGAGCAAACAAGGTGTTCTGTCAAAGAAATTAGCATAAAAATTAGCATTTGATTGGCGGATTTTAGGAAAGAGGTGGTGTACGTGCCGGTGGACTCGCAGTTTGGCGCGGAGGGGGGGGGGGGGAAAGGGGGGAGGGGGGAGTTTACCTATTGATGGTGTGAAAAGGGGGAATTTATAAGAGCTGCGAAAGTTTAGGGTACCACTACTTGAAAAATATACTGTACCATTGAAATTAATTTAATGTTCAGTTCGATTTAGAACATCTTTCCAATGGTTGCTTAATTTTAAACCATCTACTCGGTTGAAATTGTGTCTGTGTTTGTAGATCTGAATTGCCTCGTGAACAAATCTCTGATAAAAGCCCGTGGGTTTGCAAAGAACCTTGGTATCGGAGAAAATTATATCGTGATCCCCCACAGCATTGTAACAGTGATCAGCCACGGCAGAAAAATTCGTTTTGCCGTGTTTCAAATCTGATTTGTGCTCGCGAATTCGGTCAGAAACATGTCGCTTTGTCTCACCGATGTAGCAATCACCGCAGGTACAACTCAATTTGTAAACCCCGGGGTACTGTAAGTCAGGAATGACATCCTTCACGGATGGGATCAGATCACGAATTTTGTGTACTGTATTGAACCGGACCTGGATCTTGTGTTTGTTTAGAATTTTGGAAATCATTTTAGTAACGCATGCTATATATGGTAGTGTGATGGTTTTGACCGGAGTATCAAGTGGTTGTTTCTGTATGGAGGGGTACCTCTGCGGATGTGTATACTTTAACTTAACTATTTCAATGAGCCATTTCAATGCTAAATTATATGCTAATTCCTTTGTCAAGGCGCGTGGTCTTTTTCTTCTCTCTTTCTTTCTCGTCCCTTCACCTGATGAAGGCCGCTTGTGTTGTGGCCGAAACGTTGAGATTTTTTGTTATTTTATTTTCACCTACGTGACTTTACCCAATAGAACCAAAGAGTATAGGCTGATCGATGCCCGGGTGCGGTCAAGGGATGGCTCCCTATTGCTCAACCACGTTATGTATGCTGATGATTTGGTAATAGCCGCTCATTCAGAGGAGGAGTTGGAGACGCTGCTGCTGAGACTGGAGCGTGCCACTAAGAGGTGGGGCCTTACCATCAGCCCCACCAAAACTAAGCACCTGCCTGGGTATTTTGTACCATCGGACACTCCACCCCCCACAACTCCCAATCGGTGATGGGGCAGTTGTGGAGAGAGTGGAGAGTTTCCCATACCTGGGCAGTGTGCTTATGACTGGCTCCAGTTTAACAGCAGAGGTCTCACTTCGAATCAGTCGAGCGGCAAAATCTTTTCATAGGTTGCGTAACACTGTGTGGAAGCTACCTGGTCTGTCGCTCCGCACTAAGCTTCAGGTCTTCTCGGCCACGGTCATTCCCTCCCTTTACTCTACGCTTGCGAAACGTGGACCCCCTTAATGGAACATCTTCGCCGGTTAGAAACATTTAGGCTGACCTGCCTACGATCCATCCTGGGTTTAACCGGGCTGGATTGTGTGAGGAGCTCACAAATCCTTGAAAGATCTGGGCAAGGTCCCATCGGTGAGCTCCTCCGGCAGGCAAGGCTGCGTTGGCTGGGTCATGTAGCCCGCATGCCCAGCCACCGCATGCCGAAACAGCTTTTGTTCGGCCGGATCGAGGGGGCTAAACGGACGAGGCACGGGCTAGAGAAGAGATGGAGTGATGTGGTACAGGAGGACGTGGAGCTGAGTGGACTTGGCGATGACCAGTACCAGCGGTGTCAAGATCGGCCTCTGTGGAGGAGGCTCGTGAAGGACGCTACTGGGCAGTTGGAGGCAGTCGCCCTCCAACAACAACGGAAGGCGGAGGAGCGACGCTCACAACAACGAGCGGAGCGCCGGGTGGCTAAAGCACAGCAGGTTGGCACAGTAGGGGGCACAGGTGGTGCATCAGCCAGTCATCTCAGTCAGTCGACTCGTGGCACCTGGGTCTGCCCCGTGACCTCCTGCCAGCGGGCGTTCGACACTTCACGTGGCCTCAACGTGCACCTAGCCTGGCACAATTGTCGTTGTGACGTAACCGCCACTTAGTGGCGAATGGAGATTGTTGGTGGTTGTATTGGTGGTGGTTCTGGTGGTTGTTTTAGTGGTGGTGGTTGTAGTGGTGGTGGTGGTTGTGGTGGTTGTATTGGTGGTGGTGGTTGTGGTGGTTGTAGTGATGGTTGTGTTGGGAGTGGCTGTAGTGGTGGTGGTAGTTGTGGTGGTTGTGGTGGTTGTGCAGATTCGCACGATGCGGTGATGAGGTTCAACGCGGCGCCAACCGCGGGCTTTGAACGCCACGTGGGGAGCAAAACGACGATCCGACTCATCAACACCAAGGTGAGTGACTCACCTACTCACTCACCAACTCATTTAGCTACTCACTCAGCTACTCACTCACCCACTCACTCAGCTACTCACTCAGCTACTCACTAAGCTACTCACTCAGCTACTCACTCACCCACACACTCACCCACTCACTCACCTACTCATTCACCCACTCACCCACTCACTCACCCATTCACTCACCAACTCACTCACCAACTCACTCACCCACTCACTCACCCACTCACTCACCAACAGACTCACCCACTCACTCAGCTACTCACTCACCCACTAAGCTACTCTCAACTACTCACTCACCCACTCACTCACCCACTCACTCAGCTACTCACTCAGCTACTCACTCACAAACTAACTCACCAACTCACTCACCAACTCATTCACCTATTCACTCACCTACGCACTCACCTACTCACTCACCCACCAACTCACTCACCAACACACTCAGCTACTCACTCACCAACTCACTCACTAACTCACCCACCAACTCACCAACTCACTCAGCTATTCACCCAACAACTCACTCACCTAATCACCCACCAACTCACTCACCCACTCACTCACCCACTCACTCAGCTACTCACTCACCCACCAACTCACTCACCAACACATTCACCAACTCACTCACCAACTCACTCATCCACCAACTCACTCACCAACACACTCAGCTACTCACTCACCAACTCACTCACCCACCAACTCACCAACTCACTCAGCTACTCACCCACCAACTCACTCACCTACTCACTCACCAACTCACCCACCAACTCACTCACCCACCAACTCACTCACCTACTCATCCACCAACTCACTCATCAACTCACTCAACTCCCCATCTCACTCACCAACTCACTCACCCACTCAACTTTTCTTCCCAAGATTCACCCAGCCTCCCACTTTGACCTCCCCCTCCCACTTTGACCTCCCCGTGACCCCAGATCGTGACTCAGAGGAAGTACAAATTCAGCTCCAGTCCCCTCTACCGCAACGTGTCCCTCGTGCTGTGGGAAACTCCACCTCGGCCCTGTAACATCACTACGGTACACTCACCCACTCACTCACCCAACCACCCACTCACTCACACACTCACCCACTCACCCACCCACTCACCCACCCACTCACCCATTCACTCACTCACCCACCAACTAACTCACCCACTCACTCACACACTCACCCACTCACTCACCCACTCACCCATCAACTCACTCACACACTCACCCACTCACCCACCCACTCACCCACCCACTCACCCATTCACTCACTCACCCACTCACCCACCAACTCACTCACCCACTCACTCACCCACTCACCTACCCACTCACCCACTCACTCACCCACTCACCCACTCACCCACTCACCCACCAACTCACTCACACACTCACCCACTCACTCACCCACTCACCCACCAACTCACTCACACACTCACCCACTCACTCACCCACTCACCCACCCACCCACTCACCCACCCACTCACCCACTCACCCACTAACCCACTCACTCACCCACTCACCCACCCACCCACTCACCCAATCACCCACCCACCCACTCACCCACCCACCCACCCACTCACCCACCCACCCACCCAACTCACTCACCCACCCACCCAACTCACTCACCCACTCACTCACCCACCCACTCACTCACCCACTCGTGTCTCTCTCTCTCTCTCCTCCCATCTCGCGGTGTCCCTCTAACCCCAGTGGTACGCCAGGAACGATGCGCGATTCTTCTCGCTCTACCCACTCACCCAACTCACCCACCCACTCACTCACTCACCCACTCACTCACCCACCCACCCACCCACCCACCCACTCACTCACCCACTCACCCACCCACTCACCCACCCACCCACCCACTCACTCACCCACTCACCCACCCACTCACCCGCCCACTCACTCACTCACTCACCCACCCACTCACTCACTCACCCATCCACTCACCCACTCACCCACCCACTCACCCACCCACCCACCCACTCACTCTCCCACTCATCCACCCACTCACCCGCCCACTCACTCACTCACCCACCCACCCACTCACCCACCCACCCACCCACTCGTGTCTCTCTCTCTCCTCCCATCTCGCGGTGTCCCTCTAACCCCAGTGGTACGCCAGGAACAATGCGCGATTCTTCTCGCTCTACCCACCCACCCAACTCACTCACCCACTCACTCACCCACTCACCCACCCACTCACTCACCCACTCACCCACTCACTCACCAACTCACCCACCCACTCACTCACCCACCCACCCACTCACTCACCCACTCACCCACCCACTCACCCGCCCACTCACCCACCCACTCACTCACCCACTCACCCACTCACTCACCCACCCACTCACCCACTCACCCACCCACTCACTCACCCACTCACCCACTCACTCACCAACTCACCCACCCACTCACTCACCCACCCACCCACCCACTCACTCACCCACTCACCCACCCACTCACCCACCCACTCACTCACTCACCCACCCACCCACTCACTCACTCACCCACCCACTCACCCACTCACCCACCAACTCACTCACTCACCCACCCACCCACCCACTCACTCACCCACTCACCCACCCACTCACCCGCCCACTCACTCACTCACCCACCCACCCACTCACTCACTCACCCACCCACTCACTCACCCACTCACCCACCCACCCAACTCACCCACTACCTCACCCACCAACTCACCCACCAACTCACCCACCAACTCACCCACCCAACTCACTCACCCACTCACTCACCCACCCACTCACCCACCCACTCACCCGCCCACTCACTCACTCACCCACTCACTCACCCACACACCCACCCACTCACCCACCCACTCACCCACCCACTCACCCACCAACTCACCCACCCACTCACCCACCCACCCACCCACTCGTGTCTCTCTGTCTCCTCCCATCTCGCGGTGTCCCTCTAACCCCAGTGGTACGCCAGGAACAATGCGCGATTCTTCTCGCTCTACCCACTCACCCAACTCACTCACCCACTCACTCACTCACCCACTCACTCACCCACCCACCCACCCACTCACTCACCCACTCACCCACCCACTCACCCACCCACCCACCCACTCACTCACCCACTCACCCACCCACTCACCCACCCACTCACCCACTCACCCACCCACTCACCCGCCCACTCACTCACTCACCCACCCACCCACTCACTCACCCACTCACCCACCCACTCACCCGCCCACTCACTCACCCACTCACCCACCCACTCACTCACTCACTCACCCACCCACTCACTCACTCACCCACCCACTCACCCACTCACTCACCCACTCACTCACCCACTCACTCACTCACCCACCCACTCACTCACTCACTCACCCACCCACTCACCCACTCACTCACCAACTCACTCACTCACCCACTCACTCACTCACTCACCCACTCACACACTCACCCACTCACTCACCCACTCACTCACTCACCCACTCACTCACTCACTCACCCACCCACTCACCCACTCACTCACCCACTCACCCACCAACTCACTCACTCACCCACCCACCCACCCACTCACTCACCCACTCACCCACCCACTCACCCGCCCACTCACTCACTCACCCACCCACCCACTCACCCACCCACCCACCCACTCGTGTCTCTCTCTCTCCTCCCATCTCGCGGTGTCCCTCTAACCCCAGTGGTACGCCAGGAACAATGCGCGATTCTTCTCGCTCTACCCACCCAACCACTCACTCACCCACTCACTCACCCACTCACTCACCCACTCACCCACTCACTCACCAACTCACCCACCCACTCACTCACCCACTCACCCACTCACTCACCAACTCACCCACCCACTCACTCACCCACCCACCCACCCACTCACTCACCCACTCACCCACCCACTCACCCGCCCACTCACCCACCCACTCACTCACCCACTCACCCACTCACTCACCCACCCACTCACCCACTCACCCACCCACTCACTCACCCACTCACCCACTCACTCACCAACTCACCCACCCACTCACTCACCCACCCACCCACCCACTCACTCACCCACTCACCCACCCACTCACCCGCCCACTCACTCACTCACCCACCCACCCACTCACTCACTCACCCACCCACTCACCCACTCACCCACCAACTCACTCACTCACCCACCCACCCACCCACTCACTCACCCACTCACCCACCCACTCACCCGCCCACTCACTCACTCACCCACCCACCCACTCACTCACCCACCCACCCAACTCACCCACTACCTCACCCACCAACTCACCCACCAACTCACCCACCAACTCACCCACCCAACTCACTCACCCACTCACTCACCCACCCACCCACTCACTCACTCACTCACACACTCACTCACCCACTCACCCACCAACTCACCCACCAACTCACCCACCCAACTCACTCACCCACTCACTCACCCACCCACTCACCCACCCACTCACCCGCCCACTCACTCACTCACCCACTCACTCACCCACACACCCACGCACTCACCCACCCACTCACCCACCCACTCACCCACCAACTCACCCACCCACTCACCCACCCACCCACCCACTCGTGTCTCTCTGTCTCCTCCCATCTCGCGGTGTCCCTCTAACCCCAGTGGTACGCCAGGAACAATGCGCGATTCTTCTCGCTCTACCCACCCACCCAACTCACTCACCCACTCACTCACCCACTCACTCACCCACCCACTCACCCACTCACCCACCCACTCACTCACCCACTCACCCACTCACTCACCCACTCACCCACCAACTCACTCACCCACTCACTCACCCACTCACTCACCCGCCCACTCACTCACCCACTCACCCACCCACTCACTCACTCACCCAACTCACTCACCCACTCACTCACCCACCCACTCACTCACCCACCCACTCACTCACTCACTCACCCACTCACTCACCCACCCACTCACTCACTCACTCACCCACTCACCCACTCACCCACCCACTCACCCACCCACTCACGCACCCACTCACTCACTCACTCACCCACCCACACGTGTCTCTCTCTCTGTCTCCTCCCATCTCGCGGTGTCCCTCTAACCCCAGTGGTACACCAGGAACAATGCGCGATTCTTCTCGCTCTACCCACCCACCCAACTCACTCACCCACCCACTCACCCACCCAACTCACTCACCCATTCACTCACTCACCCACTCACTCACCCACTCACCCACTCACTCACCCACTCACCCAACTCACTCACCCACTCACTCACCAACTCACTCACTCACTCACCCACTCACCCACCCACCCACTCACTCACCCACCCACCCACTCACTCACTCACCCACTCACTCACCCACCCACTCACTCACCCACCCACCCACTCACTCACTCACCCACTCACCCACCCATCCACTCACTCACCCACCCACCCACTCACTCACTCACCCACCCACCCACCCACTCACTCACCCACCCATCCACTCACTCACCCACTCACCCAACTCACCCACCCACTCACCCACTCACCCACTCACCCACCGAACTCACCCACCCACTCACCCACCCACCCACCCACTCTTGTGTCTCTCTCTCTGTCTCCTCCCATCTCGCGGTGTCCCTCTAACCCCAGTGGTATGCCAGGAACGATGCGCGATTCTTCTCGCTCTACCCACCCAACTCACCCACCCACTCACTCACCCACCCACTCACTCAGCCACCCACTCACCCACTCACTCACCCACACGTCTCTCTCTCTCTGTCTCCTCCCATCTCGCGGTGTCCCTCTAACCGCAGTGGTACGCCAGGAACAATGCGCGATTCTTCTCGCTCTACCCACCCACCCACTCACTCACCCACTCACTCACCCAACTCACCCACCCACTCACTCACCCACCCACTCACCCACCCACTCACCCACTCACTCACCCACCAACTCACCCACCCACTCACCCACCCACTCACCCACCCACCCACCCACTCACCCACTCACCCACCCACTCACCCACCCACTCACCCACCCACTCACCAACTCACCCACCCACTCACCCACCCACTCACTCACCCACCCACCCATCCACCCACTCACTCACCCACTCACCCACCCACTCACCCACCCACCCACCCACTCGTGTCTCTCTCTCTGTCTCCTCCCATCTCGCGGTGTCCCTCTAACCCCAGTGGTACGCCAGGAACGATGCGCGATTCTTCTCGCTCTACCCACTCACCCAACTCACTCACCCACTCACTCACCCACGCACTCACTCACTCACTCACCCACCCACTCACCCACTCACCCACCCATTCACCCACTCACTCACCCACCCACCCAACTCACTCACCCACTCACTCACCCACTCACTCACCCACTCACCCACCCACTCACTCACCCACCCACTCACCCACTCACTCACCCACTCACTCACCCACCAACTCACCCACCCACTCACCCACCCACTCACCCACCCACTCACCCACTCACTCACCCACCAACTCACCCACCCACTCACCCACCCACTCACCCACCCACCCACCCACTCACCCACTCACCCACCCACTCACCCACCCACTCACCCACCCACTCACCAACTCACCCACCCACTCACCCACCCACTCACTCACCCACCCACCCATCCACCCACTCACTCACCCACTCACCCACCCACTCACCCACCCACCCACCCACTCTTGTGTCTCTCTCTCTCCTCCCATCTCGCGGTGTCCCTCTAACCCCAGTGGTACGCCAGGAACAATGCGCGATTCTTCTCGCTCTACCCACCCACCCAACTCACTCACCCACTCACTCACCCACTCACCCACCCACTCACTCACCCACCCACTCACCCACCCACTCACCCACTCACTCACCCACCAACTCACCCACCCACTCACCCACCCACTCACCCACCCACCCACCCACTCACCCACTCACCCACCCACTCACCCACCCACACACCCACCCACTCACCAACTCACCCACCCACTCACCCACCCACTCACTCACCCACCCACCCATCCACCCACTCACTCACCCACTCACCCACCCACTCACCCACCCACCCACCCACTCGTGTCTCTCTCTCTGTCTCCTCCCATCTCGCGGTGTCCCTCTAACCCCAGTGGTACGCCAGGAACAATGCGCGATTCTTCTCGCTCTACCCACTCACCCAACTCACTCACCCACTCACTCACCCACGCACTCACCCACTCACTCACCCACTCACCCACCCACTCACCCACCCACTCACCCACCCACTCACCCACCCACTCACCCACTCACTCACCCACTCACTCACCCACCCACTCACCCACCCACTCACCCACCCACCCACTCTTGTGTCTCTCTCTCTCCTCCCATCTCGCGGTGTCCCTCTAACCCCAGTGGTACGCCAGGAACAATGCGCGATTCTTCTCGCTCTACCCACCCACCCACACGTGTCTCTCTCTCTCTCTCTCCTCCCATCTCGCGGTGTCCCTCTAACCCCAGTGGTACGCCAGGAACAATGCGCGATTCTTCTCGCTCTACCCACCCACCCACACGTGTCTCTCTCTCTCTGTCTCCTCCCATCTCGCGGTGTCCCTCTAACCCCAGTGGTACGCCAGGAACAATGCGCGATTCTTCTCGCTCTACCCACCCACCCACACGTGTCTCTCTCTCTCTCCTCCCATCTCGTGGTGTCCCTCTAACCCCAGTGGTACGCCAGGAACAATGCGCGATTCTTCTCGCTCTACGCGTCGCTGCGCCGCGGGCGTCCCGGGCAGCACTTCGCGCTCATCCCGCCGTGCTTCCTCTGGGGCCTCTGGGATCTGCTGCAGAGCAACGCGGGCACGGCCAAAATCCGGAGGACGTCGCCATCCTCCGGCTTCCTCGGTAAGGCCCTCGGGGCAGCAGCCGCCGTGTGCCCTGAGGGCAGCAGCAGCTGTGTGCCCTGAGGGCAGCATCTGCAGCAGCTGTGTGCCCTGAGGGCATCTGTGTGCCCTGAGGGCAGCATCAGTGCCTCTCTCAGTCTCCCTGTGTCTCTCTCTCCATCTCCCCGTGTCTCTCTCCATCTCCCCGTGTCTCTCTCTCCATCTCCCCGTGTCTCTCTCCATCTCCCCGTGTCTCTCTCCCCCATCTCCCCGTGTCTCTCTCTCCATCTCCCCGTGTCTCTCTCTCCATCTCCCCGTGTCTCTCTCCCCCATCTCCCCGTGTCTCTCTCCGTCTCCCCGTGTCTCTCTCTCCATCTCCCCGTGTCTCTCTCTCCATCTCCCCGTGTCTCTCTCTCCATCTCCCCGTATCTCTCTGTCTCTCCCAGTGTATCTCTCTCTCTCTCTCCCCGTGTCTCTCTCTCCATCTCCCCGTGTCTCTCTCTCTCTCTCCGTGTCTCTCTCTCCGTCTCCCCGTGTCTCTCTCTCCGTCTCCCCGTGTCTCTCTCTCCATCTCCCCGTGTCTCTCTCTCCATCTCCCCGTGTCTGTCTCTCTCCATCTCCCCGTGTCTCTCTCCCCTTCTCCCCGTGTCTCTCTCTCCATCTCCCCGTGTCTCTCTCTCCATCTCCCCGTGTCTCTCTCCCCTTCTCCCCGTGTCTCTCTCTCCATCTCCCCGTGTCTCTCTCTCCGTCTCCCCGTGTCTCTCTCTCCATCTCCCCGTGTCTCTCTCTCCATCTCCCCGTGTCTGTCTCTCTCCATCTCCCCGTGTCTCTCTCCCCTTCTCCCCGTGTCTCTCTCTCCATCTCCCCGTGTCTCTCTCTCCATCTCCCCGTGTCTCTCTCTCCATCTCCCCGTGTCTCTCTCTCCATCTCCCCGTGTCTGTCTCTCTCCATCTCCCCGTGTCTCTCTCCCCCTCTCCCCGTGTCTCTCTCTCCATCTCCCCGTGTCTGTCTCTCCATCTCCCCGTGTCTCTCTCTCCATCTCCCCGTGTCTCTCTCTCTCCATCTCCCCGTGTCTCTCTCCCCTTCTCCCCGTGTCTCTCTCTCCATCTCCCCGTGTCTCTCTCTCCATCTCCCCGTGTCTGTTTCTCTCCATCTCCCCGTGTCTCTCTCCCCTTCTCCCCGTGTCTCTCTCTCCATCTCCCCGTGTCTCTCTCTCCATCTCCCCGTGTCTCTCTCTCCATCTCCCCGTGTCTCTCTCTCCATCTCCCCGTGTCTGTCTCTCTCCATCTCCCCGTGTCTCTCTCCCCTTCTCCCCGTGTCTCTCTCTCCATCTCCCCGTGTCTGTCTCTCCATCTCCCCGTGTCTCTCTCTCCATCTCCCCGTGTCTGTCTCTCTCCATCTCCCCGTGTCTCTCTCCCCTTCTCCCCGTGTCTCTCTCTCCATCTCCCCGTGTCTCTCTCTCCATCTCCCCGTGTCTCTCTCCCCTTCTCCCCGCGTCTCTCTCTCCATCTCCCCGTATCTCTCTCTCAGTCTCCCCGTGTCTCTCTCTCCATCTCCCCGTGTCTCTCTCTCCATCTCCCCGTGTCTCTCTCCATCTCCCCGTGTCTCTCTCTCTCCATCTCCCCGTGTCTCTCTCTCCATCTCCCCGTGTCTCTCTCTCCATCTCCCCGTGTCTCTCTCTCCATCTCCCCGTGTTTCTCTCTCCATCTCCCGTATCTCTATCTCTCAGTCTCCCCGTGTCTCTCTCTCCATCTCCCCGTGTCTCTCTCTCTCATTCTCCCCGTATCTCTCTCTCCATCTCCCCGTGTCTCTCTCCACCTCCTCGTGTCTCTCTCCCCATCTCCCCGTGTCTCTCTCCCCATCTCCCCGTGTCTCTCTCCATCTCCCCGTGTCTCTCTCTCAGTCTCCCCGTGTCTCTCTCTCCATCTCCCCGTGTCTCTCTCACTATCTCCCCGTGTCTATCCATCTCCCCGTGTCTCTCTATCTCTCAGTCTCCCCGTGTCTCTCTCTCCATCTCCCCGTGTCTCTCTCTCCGTCTCCCCGTGTCTCTCTCTCCATCTCCCCGTGTCTCTCTCTCTCTCTCCGTGTCTCTCTCTCCGTCTCCCCGTGTCTCTCTCTCCGTCTCCCCGTGTCTCTCTCTCCATCTCCCCGTGTCTCTCTCTCCATCTCCCCGTGTCTGTCTCTCTCCATCTCCCCGTGTCTCTCTCCCCTTCTCCCCGTGTCTCTCTCTCCATCTCCCCGTGTCTCTCTCTCCATCTCCCCGTGTCTCTCTCCCCTTCTCCCCGTGTCTCTCTCTCCATCTCCCCGTGTCTCTCTCTCCATCTCCCCGTGTCTCTCTCTCCATCTCCCCGTGTCTCTCTCTCCATCTCCCCGTGTCTGTCTCTCTCCATCTCCCCGTGTCTCTCTCCCCTTCTCCCCGTGTCTCTCTCCATCTCCCCGTGTCTCTCTCTCCATCTCCCCGTGTCTCTCTCTCCATCTCCCCGTGTCTCTCTCTCCATCTCCCCGTGTCTGTCTCTCTCCATCTCCCCGTGTCTCTCTCCCCTTCTCCCCGTGTCTCTCTCTCCATCTCCCCGTGTCTGTCTCTCCATCTCCCCGTGTCTCTCTCTCCATCTCCCCGTGTCTCTCTCTCTCCATCTCCCCGTGTCTCTCTCCCCTTCTCCCCGTGTCTCTCTCTCCATCTCCCCGTGTCTCTCTCTCCATCTCCCCGTGTCTGTCTCTCTCCATCTCCCCGTGTCTCTCTCCCCTTCTCCCCGTGTCTCTCTCTCCATCTCCCCGTGTCTCTCTCTCCATCTCCCCGTGTCTCTCTCTCCATCTCCCCGTGTCTCTCTCTCCATCTCCCCGTGTCTGTCTCTCTCCATCTCCCCGTGTCTCTCTCCCCTTCTCCCGTGTCTCTCTCTCCATCTCCCCGTGTCTGTCTCTCCATCTCCCCGTGTCTCTCTCTCCATCTCCCCGTGTCTGTCTCTCTCCATCACCCCGTCTCTCTCTCCCCTTCTCCCCGTGTCTCTCTCTCCATCTCCCCGTGTCTCTCTCTCCATCTCCCCGTGTCTCTCTCCCCTTCTCCCCGTGTCTCTCTCTCCATCTCCCCGTCTCTCTCTCTCAGTCTCCCCGTGTCTCTCTCTCCATCTCCCCGTGTCTCTCTCTCCATCTCCCCGTGTCTCTCTCTCCATCTCCCCGTGTCTCTCTCCATCTCCCCGTGTCTCTCTCTCTCCATCTCCCCGTGTCTCTCTCTCCATCTCCCCGTGTCTCTCTCTCCATCTCCCCGTGTCTCTCTCTCCATCTCCCCGTGTCTCTCTCTCCATCTCCCGTATCTCTATCTCTCAGTCTCCCCGTGTCTCTCTCTCCATCTCCCCGTGTCTCTCTCTCTCAGTCTCCCCGTATCTCTCTCTCCATCTCCCCGTGTCTCTCTCCACCTCCTCGTGTCTCTCTCCCCATCTCCCCGTGTCTCTCTCCCCATCTCCCCGTGTCTCTCTCCATCTCCCCGTGTCTCTCTCTCAGTCTCCCCGTGTCTCTCTCTCCATCTCCCCATGTCTCTCTCTCCATCTCCCCGTGTCTCTCTCTCCATCTCCCCGTGTCTCTCTATCTCTCAGTCTCCCCGTGTCTCTCTCACTATCTCCCCGTGTCTCTCTCTCCGTCTCCCCGTGTCTCTCTCTCCATCTCTCTCCATCTCTCTCCATCTCCCCGTGTCTCTCTCCCACCAGGCCTCATGTTCATGGTGACTTTGTGTGACGAGGTGACCGCCTACGACTTCGTCCCGTCGATGAACCGCGCCTCCCTCCTCTGCCACTACTTCCAGCGCGGCTCCGGCGCCGCCTGCTCTCTCGGAGGGTTCCACCCCCGGGGTCACGAGAAGCTCCTGGCCCTGAGGATGTCCTCCAGGACTCCCAGGGAGGCCTTCGAGAGCGGGCTCCTCAAGCTGCCCGGAATCAACGGACTCAGCTGTGGCGATGATGGTGATGGTGGTGGTGATGGTGGTGGTGAAGGTGGTCGTGGTGGTGATGATGGCCGTGGTGAGAACGGGCAATAAGTGGACAGATGAAGAGTGGATGGATGAGTTGATGGACAGGTGAGTTGATAGATGTGTGGATGGATGGGTTGGTGGATAGATCGTCATCTATCCACCAACTCATCAATAGCTGTGTCTAATGACCATCTACTAGCTGTGTCTAATGACCATCTACTAGCGGTGTCAGGTGACCATCTACTAGCTGTGTCTAGTGACCATCTACTAGCTGTGTCTAGTGACCATCTACTAGCGGTGTCTAGTGACCATCTACTAGCTGTGTCTAATGACCATGTACTAGCTGTGTCTAGTGACCATCTACTAGCTGTGTCTAGTGACCATCTACTAGCTGTGTCTAGTGACCATCTACTAGCTGTGTCTAGTGACCATCTACTAGTGGTGTCTAGTGACCATCTACTAGCTGTGTCTAGTGACCATCTACTAGCTGTGTCTAGTGACCATCTACTAGCTGTGTCTAGTGACCATCTACTAGCTGTGTCTAGTGACCATCTACTAGCTGTGTCTAATGACCATCTACTAGCTGTGTCTAATGACCATGTACTAGCGGTGTCAGGTGACCATCTACTAGCTGTGTCTAGTGACCATCTACTAGCTGTGTCTAGTGAACATCTACTAGCTGTATCTAATGACCATCTACTAGCTGTGTCTAGTGACCATCTACTAGCTGTGTCTAGTGACCATCTACTAGCTGTGTCTAGTGACCATCTACTAGCTGTGTCTAGTGACCATCTACTAGCTGTGTCTAGTGACCATCTACTAGCTGTGTCTAGTGACCATCTACTAGCTGTGTCTAGTGACCATCTACTAGCTGTGTCTAGTGACCATCTACTAGCTGTGTCTAGTGACCATCTACTAGCTGTGTCTAGTGACCATCTACTAGCTGTGTCTAATGACCATCTACTAGCTGTGTCTAGTAACCATCTACTAGCGGTAGATGGTCATTAGACAAGTTGGTGGATGAACGAGGTGGTGGACAGACAGACGAGGTGGTGATCAGACAGACGAGGTGGTGATCAGACAGACGAGGTGGTGGACAGACAGACGAGGTGGTGGACAGACAGACGAGGTGGTGATCAGACAGACGAGGTGGTGGACAGACAAACGAATTCATGATCAGACAGACGAGGTGGTGGACGGACAGACGAGGTGGTGATCAGACAGACGAGGTGGTGGACAGACATACGAGGTGGTGAACAGACAGACGAGGTGGTGGACAGACAGACGAGGTGGTGATCAGACAGACGAGGTGGTGGACAGACAAACGAAGTCATGATCAGACAGACGAGGTGGTGGACGGACAGACGAGGTGGTGATCAGACAGACGAGGTGGTGGACAGACATACGAGGTGGTGAACAGACAGACGAGGTGGTGGACAGACAGACGAGGTGGTGATCAGACAGACGAGGTGGTGATCAGACAGACGAGGTGGTGATCAGACAGACGAGGTGGTGGACAGACAGACGAGGTGGTGGACAGACAGACGAGGTGGTGGACAGATAGACGAGGTCATGATCAGACAGACGAGGTGGTGGACAGACAGACGAGGTGGTGGACAGACAGACGAGGTGGTGGACAGACAGACGAGGTGGTGGACAGACAGACGAGGTGGTGGACAGACAGACGAGGTGGTGGAGGTGAGGGAGACATCCTGGGGTTGACGGCAAGGAAGTGAAGCAACATCCCAGAGAGAAGCAACGGAGCGACGTCACCGAGTGGCCCAGCTGACGACGATGACGTCACCGCGTGGCCCAGCTGACTTTGACGTCACCGAGTGGCCCAGCTGACTTTGACGTCACCGGAGGGGTTCCCCGGGACCCAGGGAACCCCTCCGGTGACAGCGGCGAGGAGGACGATGCCGCGGGGACAACGGTCGGGCGGGCCACGTGGCCTCACCAGCTAAGGGCCACGTGGCCTCACCAGCTCAGGGCCACGTGGCCTCACCAGCTAAGGGCCACGTGGCCTCACCAGCTAATGGCCACGTGGCCTCACCAGCTAAGGGCCACGTGGCCTCACCAGCTAATGGCCACGTGGCCTCACCACCTAAGGGCCACGTGGCCTCACCAGCTAATGGCCACGTGGCCTCACCAGCTAAGGGCCACGTGGCCTCACCAGCTAATGGCCACGTGGCCTCACCAGCTAAGGGCCACGTGGCCTCACCAGCTAAGGGCCACGTGGCCTCACCACCTAAGGGCCACGTGGCCTCACCAGCTCAGGGCCACGTGGCCTCACCACCTAAGGGCCACGTGGCCTCACCAGCTAAGGGCCACGTGGCCTCACCAGCTAAGGGCCACGTGGCCTCACCAGCTAAGGGCCACGTGGCCTCACCACCTAAGGGCCACGTGACCTCACCAGCTAAGGGCCACGTGGCCTCACCACCTAAGGGCCACGTGACCTCACCAGCTGAGGGCCACGTGGCCTCACCAACTAAGGGCCACGTGGCCTCACCAGCTAAGGGCCACGTGGCCTCACCAGCTAAGGGCCACGTGGCCTCACCACCTAAGGACCACGTGGCCTCACCACCTAAGGACCACGTGGCCTCACCACCTAAGGGCCACGTGGCCTCACCAGCTAAGGGCCACGTGGCCTCACCAGCTAAGGACCACGTGACCTCACCAGCTAAGGGCCACGTGGCCTCACCAGAGTGGGAGGATGGTGAGTTGGAGGATGATGAGTGGGAGGATGATGAGTGGATGGATGGTGAGTGGATGGACGATGAGTGGGCAGATGAAGAGTGGATGGATGGTGAGTGGATGGATGATGAGTGGATGGATGATGAGTGGATGGATGATGAGTGGATGGATGATGAGTGGATGGATGATGAGTGGATGGATGATGAGTGGATGGATGATGAGTGGATGGATGGTGAGTGGATGGATGATGAGTGGATGGATGGTGAGTGGATGGATGATGAGTGGACGGATGAAGAGTGGGCAGATGATTAGATGATGATTGGACGGATGAAGACATTCCTCAATAAACACTGAGGGGACTTCACGGGAGCAGAGTGGAGCATCTGTTCACCAGGTGAACAGATGGGTGGGCGGGTGGGTGGGTGAGCAGGTGGGTGGGTGAGCAGGTGGGTGGGCGGGTGGGTGGGTGAGCAGGTGGGTGGGTGAGTGGGTGAGTGGGTGAGTGGGTGAGCAGGTGGGTGGGTGGGTGATTGGGTGAGCAGGTGGATGGCTGAGTGGGTGAAAAGGTGGGTGGGCGGGTGGGTGGGTGAGCAGGTGGGTGGGTGGGTGAGTGGGTGAGCAGGTGGGTGAGTGGGTGAGCAGGTGGGTGGCTGAGTGGGTGAGCAGGTGGGTGGGTGAGTGGGTGGGTGGGTGGGTGAGTGGGTGAGCAGGTGGGTGGGTGGCTGAGTGGGTGACAAGGTGGGTGGTGTTGTATATTTGCCTCTTCAAGAACGTCTATTAAGTGTGACATTGCCTCCTTTTAATGGCATGGCTCATTGTAGACGTACATGAGCATTCATTACGTCACAGAGCATGGAAAAGCCAAGAGCCAATCGACATAGATAGAAAACAATAAAATAAAATAATGTAATTAAAATAATAAGAAGAATTTGAAATTAATAAAAGCAAAAAAACACGATAAAAATGTATTGTAATGTAAGATTTAAATAAAAAATAAATTGAAAATAATCTTTTTTTTTCTTTTCTCTCCGCCTGATGAAGACCGCTTGTGTTGAGATTGAAACTTCGTCAGCTTTTTTGCTTTTATTATTTTCAATTTATTTTTAATTTAATTTAACAATTTTTTAATATTTTTAAGAGGTTTTTTTGCTTTTATTATTTTCAATTTACTTTTAATTTTATTTATCAATTTTTTATATTTTTAAGTGGTTTTCTTTGTTTTAATTATTTGCAAATGTTGGTTTTCTATCGACGTGACTTTACTGAAAGCACCAAGCTCATGCATTCCTGCAATCACGAAAGTTTCGAGTCAAAATTAAAAACAAAAATCGATTTTATCAAATGAGCGTTGCTGGACACCACCATGGCTGCTGATGCCGGTGTGAGGCTGCGAAACGTCGTTCCCCAGGAATTGACACTCCAGCAGTGGAGAATGTGGGACAGGCGGGACGAGCGGATGACCACCTCGGCGAACTCAAAGGGGAGTCCTGGACAATTTCACTGACGGTCCGAATCAACGATCCCGTGGGCAGAATGACAACTCCCACGTGAGAACATTCCCTAACGTCCCCAAGGTCATTTGGCGATAAGACTCAAGGTCACACGGGGCAATCGAGGGCCGGAAGGTTTCAATGACAATTGTGCATGTCCCCATTCATTGGGCATCACTATCACGGGACCCGGTCTGGGTTTAGCTCGTGAAAGTTGATGATGAATGGAATCGTGGAAGGTCGCGTTCAAGTGATGAACCTAGACAACAAAACGCATTTTTAGACATTTAACAGAATTTTTATTTAAAGCTTTCGTGACTGCAGTAATTCATATTCTTAGTTTTTTCGGTAAAGTCACGTTGAAGAGAAACAACAAAATAATAAAATGTAAATAAAACAATAAAAAATTCTCACGACGTTTCGACCATAACTCAAACGGTCATCTTCAGGTGTGAAGAAGATGACCGTTTGAGTTATGGTCGAAACGTCGTGATAATTTTTTATTGTTTTATATATATATTTTATTATTTTGTTGTTTCTCTTCAACGTGACTTTACCGAAAAACTAAGAATATATATAACAGAATTGTCAATTCTACGCGATCAACAAATGTATTCAAGGGATATATCCAAAGGCGTGCCCGACCGCCTTTGTCTCCCCAGTGGCTATCACTGTGTAGTGACGACTTGTGATGCGTTCCTTGAGATGGTTCTTTATTGGAGAGCGCTGAACATTTGAACAGGCGGTGACCCAAACTTCAGCAGCCGCGAGGCTCCCGCTGAGTCCGCTGATATCCTGTGCATGGCCACACCCCTGCCCCGTGACCACGCCCCTGTTCTAGAACCACCTCGCTGGCCCGAGACCACCGGGTCCACACCTGGTCCCTTCCATCACCTGGCCACGCCCCTATTCTCGAACCTTCCCGTGGCCCCCAGCCCGTTCGCACTGCCCGCTAAATACCCCGTGACTACCTCCCGTGGCCACTAGTCCTTACTCAAGCTGGTTCCCCTGTCACTACCTCCCGTGACCACTAGTCCTTACTCAAGCTGGTTCCCCTG